CTCTCTCTCTCTGGAAAGAACGTACAAAGAACCTCCAGTCTAAGTATGCCTGCCGTAAGACAGCATTATCTGCCAGAAGGGAAGGCTCAATCACACCCAACAACCTGAGAAACCTGCATCTCTGTCTACAGAGGCTGCGGCCTGCAAATGAAGGCACAACTCCTGTGACCAGCTCCAATGCAGAGAGCGAAATAAAGCAAGACCAAGGTGCTAAAGGGAAAGAAGCATTGGCCAGTAAAGCCCTAGGGCTTGGAAAAGTCGCATATATTCCAAACTGTAGCTTTGCCAAATGTTTTCTGTGAGCGAAAAGCTTCAGCCATTCTGAATTGTCCACTCCTTGGCCATGATCCAAGCCACACTTCCCATCACCTTCCTAACACACCCCTCACTGTCCCCAGCTCCGTGACGACCTTCCATCTCTTCGGCCTCCCGGGGCTTTAGCGTTTTATTGTGGAAAACACATGGAGAGTTTTGTTTAAAAAAAAAAAAACTAGAAAAAGAAAAGGACAGGCGAAGCTTATTAAACTCCCCCACCCCCCTTCAGCTGGCTGCGTGGATTCTTTCAAGTCCGTGGTTGGATTTCTTTGAGGTCGCAGTACGTGCAGCTTTGCATGGCTGGTTTAGAGGATGGGGACGGGAGGTAAGAAAAGCTTTTGCACTGGATAAATAAAAACCCCTTTGTTAATTACAGAGCCACCGACAAGGCCATGGCCTATGTCAGGCAGCCTACACAGAAGGTTCGATTCTTCTGGAACTGAAAACAAGGAAATAGAGAAACTCCCCCCATCACCACCACACTGCATAACTTTGTCCTATGCCTGCTAAGTTATTCCCTGCTAATGCATCAGCTGTGAGAGCCCTGTGAAACATGGTTAAAATAAAGCTTAAGCCCCAAGCATAGATTTTTATTTTATTTTATTTTTTTAAAATAAAAAGCTGTTAGGTTGTTTAAAAGTTAGTACCCTCTATCTTCTCCCTAGAAAAGAACCTAAATCGTTTATTCTCTGGCCAAACTTTCATGTTCGCCTCCCCTGGCCTGTCTAAAACAGACTCTACTGTGAAACATGGGTGTGGGCAACTCACCTGAGATAGCTTGGGGATGCTGGATGGAAGCAGGCCTCAGGTGATACACCCCAACTCGGTCCCCAGAATTCCTCTCGCATAGTTTTCTCTGGGAAACTTCTACTGCGGCTTATGGAAGATCTTTGCATGTCTCTGTTTCTGTCACTAATCAAAAATACCATCTTCTCTCCCTCTGCATCTCTGCTGTATCATCCTCAGGTGGGCTTCCCAGTCACACGGGCAAGGTCAGTGTTCTAGGTCTGTCTCCACTAGAGGTAGGTTCCCTGTCCCATCTGAAACTCCACTTGTTTTTGTTTGTTTCTTTTTTTCTCGTTTGTTCAATGTGAGGTGACAGTTACATACTGAGGGTTAAGCTTGGCCGTGTGTCACATGCCTAATACATTCTAAATAGATCATATATCAATAGCACGTGAAAGAACAGTATCAAAAATCATGCTGTTGTTATTAATATAATGTGTGTGTGTGTGTGTGTGCGTGTGTGTGTGTGTGTGTGTGTGTGTGTCCTTAAACACAGCCTGTTCCCTCAGGGAACATTAGCTACCTCTGGGTAACCCAAAGAATAAGCTGGGTTAATTAAAGTTTCCTAAAAGATGTGAACAGAGCGGGAAGGAAGACCAGAACCTTAGGTCTTAAGTCTTGGGCAGATTAATGCCCTTCCTTCCGGACATCGACCTGCCTCCCTCCTCTTTCCATTTATTGAGAGAAGTGCACAACCAGCCTGATGCTGAGATCAGTCTTTCTGGACTCCTCTGGGAATCTGACACACTCCTTTGGCACATTGGTCCTGCTGTAAAAATCACGGTAGCATTCCGATGCCCAAACAGATTCACAGAGCCTCTCAGCTTTGAGCAGACATCTGGCTTGCCATTGTCTAGAAGGAAAAAGTTGTAAGCCGTCTTTACTGAGTCCACAGGACTTGTCTTAGCTTACGGTTTTTCCCACTGTGTGAAGAGTGTCCCATGGGAGCCTGACCCACTGTCACAAAGCCTTGTGGCTTTCCTCCTACAGAGTCTAACTCCCTGGTGATTGTCCTAGAGTTGGTCTTGTGTGTCCCTACCCCATTATCTCACCCATAGAGGTAGTAGACAGAGATCCACGGAGCTACAGGGCTAAGGCCAGCCAGAGACTCTGGGGAGGCAAGCTGTAAGTTGGTCATGGCTTTTGAGCAAGCACTGGCAAGAGAAAGCCTGCATTCATGTTTTTTCTTTCTAGTCCAATAAGCTACATGCTGATTCTCTTAACATCACAGAATAGCATGCTGAGACCGAGATGCCTGCCTGTTTGATGTCCTGCTTTGGGAATTTGCATGTCTAAAGCGAGGAGGCTACACGACTATGTGTCCCGAATTGCATTAAGTATCCTGTCTCTCTCCTCATGCTGCCCTGACAATTCCATCGCTGACCTTGACTTCTGGGAAAGCCCCATTCAGGGGCAGGATTAAAATATTCCCTTTGCGTTTTGATTCTAACTGGTCCATCTCCAGTTACTTTCAGAGTTGAGTTCTTCCAGCCTCCTCCGAGATCTTAAGTCTTAGAATTATCAAGGAAGGCAGAAAACACAAGGAAGGGCTTAGGAGTCAGGCAAGCCTGGATTTGAGTTGTGCTTTAACTACTTATTAGAAATTCCTTGCCCGTTGTCCTTAACTCTGCACTCTCCATGGCTAGGAAGTTGAAGCAAAATCTTCTGCACAGAATGCTCTGAATGTCGCCTAAGAATAGAGCATAACAATTTTGCTGATTCTGAGCCTGATGTGTTCCACACAACGCTCCATCCTTATGCTTGGCCCTTTAAAGGCCGAAACAACTCTACCAGATTCACTGCCCCAAATTTCCTGATGAAGAAGTCAAAACTCGAGACGTTCTCGCCGGAGTCGCCGCGGTTTCCTGCTTCAACAGTGCTTGAACGGAACCCGGCGCTCGACCCCTCCGACCCCGGCGGGCTGCTCCAAGCCAGAACCCTCTGCAAACTCATCGCTCCGCCGCTCCAGCGTAGCCAGCCACCGCCGCCATGACCACCGCGTCTCCCTCGCAAGTGCGCCAGAACTACCACCAGGACTCGGAGGCTGCCATCAACCGCCAGATCAACCTGGAACTGTATGCCTCCTACGTCTATCTGTCTATGTCTTGCTACTTCGACCGGGATGATGTGGCTCTGAGGAACTTTGCCAAATACTTTCTCCACCAATCTCATGAGGAGAGGGAACACGCTGAGAAACTGATGAAGCTGCAGAACGAACGAGGCGGCCGAATCTTCCTGCAGGATATCAAGAAACCAGACCGTGATGACTGGCAGAACGGGCTGAATGCAATGGAGTGTGCACTGCACCTGGAAAAGAGTGTGAATCAGTCACTGCTGGAACTGCACAAACTGGCTACTGACAAAAATGACCCCCACTTGTGTGACTTCATTGAGACACATTACCTGAGTGAGCAGGTGAAATCCATCAAGGAACTGGGTGACCACGTGACCAACTTGCGCAAGATGGGAGCCCCTGAAGCTGGCATGGCAGAATATCTGTTTGACAAGCACACCCTGGGCCACAGTAATGACAGCTAAGCTGACTTCCCCAGAGCCACAGTGACTTTACTGGTCACTGAGGCAGTGCGTGCATGTCGGTCTGCCTTTATCTTTTCTATGAGTCGCACCGAAACATCCGCTTAAGTTCTTTCATTTGTACCATTTCTTTAAATAANAAAAAAAAAAAAAAAAAAAAAAAAAAAAAAAAAAAGAAGTCAAAACTCAGAGGGATTATTTAATTTTGCCCAATCCTGTCAGGAATAGATCCTGACACCTACTTCAGAGTTTATGCTCTTTCTCCAAATCTATTCCTCACGAAGACTCTCAGATGCCCTGGACCTCTCTCACCTCCTGTAGGGCTCCCTGCCTGTGCACTGATCTGAAAGCTGTACAAAATCCTGGCCGCTGGCTCTTTCTCGCGCTGTCTTTCATTGCTGCCCTCTCTGAAAGAAGTCCTGGCATTTCGCCCTCCTTGCTCTTCCTTCAGTCCTTCACCTTTACGGTTGCCCTAAGTGTACTCCGTGAGTCTATTCAGAGCCTCTTCAAGATTACAACGCCTGCCATCCTGTCACATTTTTTATGTTTCTATCTTCTATAAAGGGATTATCATCAGTGTTTCTATCCTGATCTAAAAGTTCTTCAGTGCCAGGGGCTATGGGGCACAAAATTTGCTCGAGGACGTTTTAAACTTATTTTAAGATGAAAATTTTAATGACTTTTTTGACATTGCTGTGGTCTGGTGTATAGAAGGGTCACGGAGACAGTATGGGCATTCCGTGATTTTTTGCACAGTGACTGAATTTAGAAGTGATGAGAAGACAGACGAATGAGGATGCCTCCTACATGTGTGTTCCCCTGCTGTGATTTCCTTATATCTAAACGATTTCCCTTTGAGTTTAAGTTAATTATTTGAGAAGAAATATAAACACTGCTGATGTCTTACCCACTCACTGGTAGCTCCAATGCTACTCTGTTAGAAATAAGACAAAAAGCAGCTGTCCCACCGGTGAGCGCTCTGCTCAACGACTTCCTTTCCACCTTTGAATTTTATGGTCCTGACAATGCTTTCCTTGCAGGAGAGGTTATCTCCTATCTGGTGGCTTTACTCCAGCTTGCAGTTATTTTATTAAAAGCTTCATCCGGTTAGGCCTTCCAAAATGTCCAGCAAAAAAATATTCTCCCACTAAAGGTAAGGAAATGAACAACAGTATTCAAGTCTCCAGGGGATGTGTCTACATAGAGAGGACACCAGCTGTTCTCCATCCAGACTACAGACAGACCACAAGCAAAGGCCGATGAGATCACAGCAGACAGGGTGTAAGTGGCCTGGGTAGAATAGTGTTCATAAGACAAAGGGTTGTGAGACAGTGGAAGAAGAAGACTGTGTCTGGCTGTCCTCTGAAGACTCTAGAGTCCCAGGGAAATCATCCATGAGGTTTGGTTGATGCTGTCAGAAGTCATTTTGAGGACAGAACATATTCAAGGCCATGACTTCATTCTTCTAAAGTGACTTTCAATATTGAACGGTTTCTATCAATGTAAAGATCATTTTGAACATGTAGATTTTTTTCTCTTTTATAACAAATTAGACATTTCACTTCGGGGAGTGTTGTCAAAGATGGGTAGGTTTAGAACCCAGTGTTTGCAGCAATCTGGGCTTCAAAAGTTGCTTTGTATTTTCTCTATCTGATGTCCCTTAAACCCACAAATGACAACAAAAATCCTTTAAGCTAAAAACAAAAACAAACAAACCAAAAAAAAAACTAGGCCTCTATTAAAATTTGATTTCTTAAAAAACTGAAGATAACTCACAGATGTCGCGTAGATGGGTAAAGAGAGTGGAGACTTAAGCATGCATTGCTCCCTTAAATGGAAAAGGTTTGAACAGACTATTTCTCCAGCAAAACCTGTAGTGGTGGCAGACAGGAAGACTTCGTCTCAGAGTCTCTTGGGGGCTGGTGAGATGGCTCAGTGGGTAAAGACACTTGCCACCACGTTAGACAACCTGAACTCAATCCCTAGGAAGATGAGAGAACCCGCTCCCACAAGTTATCTTCTGACTTCCACACAAGCGCCATGGCATGGTCACACACACACACACACACACACACACACACAATAAATAAATAAATGTAGTTGTGAGAGAGAGAGAAAACATACACTCACAGCACCAGCAAGTCATAAGACACTTCAGCTTCCTGGCCATAATTTTTTTCTTTTGTATTAAACAAGTTCCTTACACTCAGTCTGGTTCCCTGCAATTATAAAATCTGAGGGCTATTGTTTTCCTCCAAATGTGTTAGAGGATTAAACAGAATAATGAGGTCCATGGGGTCCAAGTCCTAGTGTATGTACCTTTTCAATATCCCTGCCCTTTCTGTCTGCTGCCCCTCAAGGAAGTAGCTGAAAAAGTTCTCACTTCCTTTCTATAAATGTAAAAAAAAACACCAAAGGTCTCCTCCACCTTTCTTCCCTCAGTGACCCACCTGAAAAGAGTTGGCTTCCATTTCAGGGTCCATCAAAACAAAGCCTTAACTAGTCAAACTGATTGTTCCAGATCTCGCTCTGAATAAGCATACATGCCCCACATCATGGTAGCACTGTGTAAAGTGATATAAAATAATTCAGGTTCTATACCCCATGAGTCAGAGCGTCAAGGCTCTTCAGAAGTCCCCACATTCTCAGTATGACAGACAGAGAGACAGACAGATAGACAGACACAGACACACACACACATACACACAAAAGCCAATAGACCGGTGCTTCTCAACCCTCCTAATGCTTCAACTCTTTAATACATTTCCTCATGTCATGGTGACCCCCAACCATAAAATTATTTTCTTTGCTACTTCATAGCTGTAATTTTGCTACTGTTATGAATCATAATGTAAATAGTTTTGGAGATGAACAATGATGAGCAGCCCTAACAGCGTAGGACTATGAGCAGAGGGATCACCCTACTAGAGTTCTGGAGTTTTGTAAGATTCTATTGTAAGAGGCAGGGACAAACTGAAAATATTCTATAGAGATACCTGTCAATCAAACAGATTGATGAGACAATGAATCCACCCATGCAACTCAAAATGGGAGCTTCTCCAGGAACCTCATGCAGATGAAAGGTACCAGCCAGAGGTGGCATCTCTCAGAAAGAGATTTTGCAAAGTCTGCCTTATCAGACTACCCTATGGGATAAAACTGAAGCACAGATAACAAGGAGTCAGTCAGTAGTGGGGAGGACCGTACCTTCTTTGAGACTGCTGTACAAATCCCTGGTCTTCTGTTCAGACTTTAATCTCACTTCAGGACCCCTAAAGACAAAAGGACTTGGGGGGAGGTTCATTGGATCTTTTTGTTCCTCTTCCCAATGTGGCCTCTTTGAATAAATCTCCTTTTCTACTTTCCACTTCAAAAATTACTTTATTTTTTAAGATTGATTTAATTATATTTCCCCCTCCCTTCTCTGCCCTTCAAACTCTCCCATATATCAGTCCTTGCTCTCTCTCAAATTCATGGCCTCATTTTTCATTAGTTATTGTTCCATGCATACATATATTCACAAACACAACTTGCTCAGTCTCTTTAATGCTACCTCTGGGTGTGTTTGCAGGGTTGATCATTTGGTACTAGATAGCCAATTTCTGTGCTCTTCCCTGGGGAAGATTATTTCTCTCATCCTAGGCATTCCTTAGTTACTTATAATTCTTTGTCTAAAGTTGAGACCCCACAGGGTTTCCCTGGTCATGTTAGCATGTCTACTAACATGTCTCCCTTGTTCAGCTCATGTCTGAACACCCATGTTTGAGACTTGAAGTATAGCTTCAGACATTCCTAGGAAATACAATCTCACAGCAAACTCCCTGTTTCTCTGGGCTCTTATAATCTTTCTGCCCCCTCTTCCTCAACAATGCCTAAGTGTGGAAGTTGTGTAGTAGAGGTTTCTATGGGGACTAGGCTCCACAACTCCATGTTTGGATTGGTTGTGGTTTTCTGTAATGGTCTGTTGCAATGCTCTGAAGATCCCTTCTGGTGTAAATTGGAAAGCTGTTAATGCAGAGATACTTTGTTCAGAGACTAGAACCTACTGGATCTCAGTCTTCCACGATGGAGCCCAGGCAACAACAATAACAAACTACCTGATAATTCTTATGTGCCATCAGGTGTGATGGCATTTATCTACTTTCTAGCAGGTCTATTTCCAAACCCCCAGATAGCAGAGAGCCCACTGCATGACGACAACTCGGTATCTATAGGAAGTGTTTTGTAGACAAAATTACCAAAAAAGGGACTTGGAACACTAGGGAGTCTCGAGAATATGACAGCATCAAAATACTGGAGAGAATGGGTGTGAGAATTTAATGAACTTAGTAGATTTTACAAAACACCCAACACAAATGTCAGTTCTCCTCTTCTCCCAATGCTTTATATCTTCCATTCATAAGAATATGAGTTCTCAAGGGCAGGTACTTAGTTCAGTTTTCTTCAGAAAAGAGATGAGCACTTTAACTGATGCTCAATCTGTATTTTATGAATGACTGGATTTATGAATTAGCCTTCTTGGCCACGATACTCACAATGTGACAAGCAATGCTAGAAAGAGCTTTTGGTTCGAATGAATGACTTACAACCATCTGCTCATGATGCATGCTGCTCAGCTGTCTTGCCAATGCTAAAAATGTTTAAATGTGAGAGTGTTTGTATGGAGAGATATACATGTATTTTAAACATGCGTAATGGTGCCTTAATGGGTCACTCAACGGCCTGTAACAACCCCTCTGACACAAGTCAAAGCAAACCAAGAACTGCAGACACATAGCTTGTGCAGCAGCTGAAGTTGATGGGCCTCACGTGGTCACAAAAATTGTTTGACTCCACTTGAAATACAGCAAGCAAGCTGGAAAAATTCCAAAGAATATAAACTATTCAGGTGAATAACTCCATACTTCTGTTCTACCTTTTCCGGCCCCACAGTTTAGCCAAAATTAGCAGAAGAGAGCTGAATTGCTTTGGGGGTTAAAGCCATATGGCTCCCCCAGGGGCGGAAGAAGCATGTGTTGTTGTGTTTTATTTCCTTTTAGGGTCCCCTTGTAGAGCAAGGCAGCTGGTGAGGAAGAGGATGCCGAATGCATTACAAACTCCATGAACATGTGTAGACTGTGCCTAAGCGAGCTTGGGCC